GCCCGCGGCGTGGGGTGAGCCCACGGGGAGGGATGGGGGCGATGGGGGGGCGCGCGGTGTGCGGTGAGCCCTGTCACCCTGGGCGTGTGCCCCGTGGGGGTGCGTGTGCCCCGTGGGGGTGTGCGCTCCGTGCGCTCCACGCGTGCTCCGCTGTGGGGGTGTGTGTCGTGGGTGCGTGTGCCGTGCTCTCCTGCGGAGTCGTATATGTGCGTGTGCGTTTGTGCTGTGCCCTGCTCAGGGAGCTTTAGTAGAAGCCCCACCAAATCCGGGTTTATTTTGCTACAGGTGACTGTGGGCCGTTGCCAAACATAAGCCACGCCGAGCCCCCGGAGGACACTAAACATCAGGGAAGCTTCAGTGTCGGCTCCAAAGTAACGTACAGATGCCTTACAGGTTACGTTAAACGCCCCTTGCTGTCAGATACGATACAGTGCCTTGCAAACTCCCAGTGGTCCAACCTCCCGGAGTTTTGTGGTCGTAAGTATTTCGCTTTCTCTGAAACGAGCTGCTCAGAGACGCGCGCTGCTTGTGGAAACCTTTACTGCTTTAGCAATCGCTGTTTCAAGGGTTTCCTCGTCCAAAGTGGCAGGCGATGAAGTTGCTTGTCGGAGAATCTCTTACTGCCCCTTTTTCCGAACTATGCTTAGCCTGTTGGAGCCATGTGCTGGCACTTGTGTCTTAGTAAAAATAGGTCAATAGTTTGGGGAAGCACAGGAAAGAGGGGAAGAGCTATAGTGGCGAAGCGCTGGCACAGCTGGCTGCTGACGGAAGAGTTAACTAAGGGGGAAGGTTTGGCATTGGGGATTTGCAAACCTCCGCAGTGAGAACTGGCTGCACTTCCCCACCTCAAACGTTTCATTAGTGGAATTGGCAAGGGAGGTAAGCACAGCGCTTGTGAATGATTGAAAGAGAGCAAATTTTAACACTTTTTCTGTTAAATAGTCATCTAGGGATATTTTTGAATTACACAAATTACCAATCACCTTCTTAAACGTATTTGCGGTATCCATATTCTTAGGGAGGCTTGTGCATTATCACTTGGATTTATGTTTATACATAGTTGAATGCAGGATATTGTTATTTTTGCTTTGTAACTGTACACGTTGGTTGTCTTCATTGTCGCTAGGTAGCTGTCCCAGTCCACCACGCGTGCGTTTTGCTAGAATATCACAAGAAGATGAAATGCAGAATTTTTACGCTGTTGATACGATGGTGAAGTATATTTGTCGCCCGGGCTATGAGAATACCACAGACCAGCTCCCCACCAGCACTTGTCTTGACGATTTAACGTGGTCAGAAGTTCCCGAGCTATGTCGGAGTGAGTGTCTCCATGTCGTTTCATTTTCTCCAACATCCTCCCAGAGCTGCATCCGCAGTGCTGTGTTCCGAGTGCCACGCCTGATTTGTATTTTAGGATTGCTTTTTTTTGAGGACATTTAGCATGAAATACTGTCAGATGCCTGGTTTGTCATTGCCATACTGTCATGAAAATTATGTCTGTGGGTTTCTCCCTGTCCTTGTAATGTCCTAAGGATAATCTTACTCTTTTTTAGGGAAATCTTGTGGTATTCCAGCAAATCCAGAACACGGCAAAGTTATTACAAATGATCATCTGTTTGGTGCAAAAGCAGACGTAGTTTGTAACCGTGGGTGAGTGTGAAGCCAGCTGCCCACCGCATCCCAGTTGCCTGGCCAGAGTCACTGGTGTGCAAGCCGGGACAAGGGGCTCTGCCTGTCGAGTCCTCGGCACCTCTGTGGGGTGACATGTTCTTGGTTGGTGACAACAAACTGATTTGTTGATGTGCCTTTTGCCCTGCAGGTACACATTAAAGGGAGCATCGCCTCTCGTCTGGTGTTCCCTAAGGGGAGGTGAAGTTGCCTGGAGCCAACTTCCAGCTTGTCGGGGTAAGTGAAGTTGTCCAGCGCTTGACTGGAAATACCAAATATTCCAACTCAGAAATACCGAGTCGTGTGTTGATTTTACTAACTGAAGTCAGGTAAGTATCTCTGGAAAGGAGACAGCTGGCGTGATGGGAGCAGGGACTAGCCAGTAGTATCACTGGTGCCCTCTGCATGTGAAAGGCTGACATAAATGAGCAACCCAGTAGCCTTGGTGTCCCTGCAGGCTGCCGCTGCCCCTCTGTACGCAGGACAGCAGGCTGGGAGGCACCTAAAAGTAACTACGTGCTGAGAGGGTGGCCAGTGCTCCCGTTTCAGTCCCTGCTCCTGCAACTGATGCAATGTGAGCCTGTGTGCAAGTGGCCCTTGGGTTTTCCTCTCCACATTGTGGAGAAGAGCATCCCAGGCATCACCTCCTGAACTCTTTTCTTTTTCTCCCCCAGCTATTTCTTGTCCTCCACCTCCAGCTATTCCCGATGGGAAGCACAATGGCAACGGTACGGAGGAGTTTACGTACAACTCAGTCGTGATGTACACGTGTGACCCTGGGCTCCGGCTTGTGGGAAATGAAACTCTTCGTTGTACAACAGAGAACAGCGTCGATGGCGTCTGGAGCGGGTCTCCTCCTGAATGCACGGGTGAGCGTTGCTGGATAATCGTCCTGTTCTCGAGTAGTTTTTCTTGCTGTGCAGTTAATTGGTCCTAATTCCCTTCTCTCAGAAAGGGAAGGACGCCAGTCTGGACAGGCATTCCCACAGGGTTTGTTTCCAGGGGAGCAGCATCTGTGTACAGCAGCAACGGTTAGCAAGTCTGTGCTTTGCAAGGTGCCAAGCTGTGCTGAAGAACAATGCGGCACAGCCGTACAGTTTTACATTTTTCCCTTCAAGAGGAACAGGCAGAATTTTAATAAACAATGTCTGGAGTGTATCGGTGACTGCAAAGCTGGTGGACTAAACCTCAGAATGGATTTATATCTAGTGTCCAACAACACCCTGGCAATAAAGCCAAGTGGGACAGCAGACTCCCCTCTCTCTGTAAGGTTTGTAGTGTCACCAAGAGGTCCCTGTGTGACTTCCACAGCTCTCGCTGTCGTAGCCACAGATGCACAGGTCAGAGGCCACCTGCCCATGCTACATTTACTCCTCACTGAAGTATTTTATATAATATGTATAAATGGAGAATTATCCAAAGTATAATTTTGAGTGGGTTTCCTTTTTTTTCCTCTCTATAGTTAGCACTACGGCAGCAACAAACCAAACTGAACCCTTGGAAGAGAAGATAGCAGAGAATCCCTACTGGCTAGGTAAGAGTTCGGGAGAAGCTTTCTGCCTCAGGGTCATTTTAATTGCTATAATTGCACCCACGTTGGGCGCCTGTGACTCCACGTGCTGTTGGATTTCTGCTCTCGCTGTGCCTTCTGCATTTCTTTCGGTGGGTCCATCTTCCAGTTTCTAAGGGGTTCTCACAGGCTTATTCCCTGGTCTAATCCCCTTTTCTCTCTGCTCCCAGCTGAGTGACTCCTTAGCTGACATGATAGGGGGTAGGATTTTTGATGCTTGAATCTCCCTCCGTGCAGCCGAGCATCTCGGTAGAAACTACTGACATTATCTTGGCTGTGTTTGGACGTTGCTGAGGGTGGAGGTAGCCTGGAGCTGTGGACCTCAGCTCTGTCAGTGGTGAGAGGTGGGGTGGGGGACTCAAGAAGAGCATAATGATGTGTGTGGCGGTTAATGACAGATTGTTTTATAGCATTTTGTCTTCTCAGCAGTGTTATGATTATCTGGGTTTGAATAATATTGTTCTGCGGGCATAGATTAAGGAACTTCCCTGTTTAGTTATCAGCATTGTTGGCTTCATTTTTTTAACATTAATTTCATTTTTTTCTTCTCTAGCAAGTATCCTCATCCCTAGTTGCATTGGTAAGTAGTTTAAAATTGAAAATATACTTTCCTAACCCAAAGCTGTTATTTGCTGTTAAATACCTGGAGTCAGTGGTTTTGGTTTATTCATTTCACTGCCCCTAGTACCGAGTGTCTCTGGTCAGGATCCAGGGCTTTCTCTGCGCTTGGGTAATGCAGCAGCATTGCAAGCGACTGGATGGATTGTCTGTGTCTTAGTATAAAACATTACATCAACTGCGGATGAAATGAAAGAAGCCAAAGAAGCCAGTGTAAGAAACCAACCAAAAACTGTACGTCCCGTCACTCTTTAAAGTTGCTTTAAAAGGCCTTGGCGGACACTGAAAGATAAGAGATTAGTGAAGCTTGGAACATCCTTGTTGCAAAAGAGGTCAAGTACTAAAAACGGTGAGTATGTTTAAAATACAAAAGAAACAGGAGGCTGTCTATAAAAGCACTAAATAAATGGGGATCCCACCCTCAAGAAGATCAGCGTGGCACCACACTTAGCGGTGGTTTCTGTGCTGTGTTCAGAGACACAGGAGGGGGTTTGCATTATTCTGGCTGAGAGGGAGCCTCCGGGTGCTGACAGGCAGCCCCAGAGCAGAGAGTTTTGCTGCCAGTCTTTTACCAAACTGCAGTATTTCACTTAAATTACATACCAAATTTGTTGTTTATTTTGGGGTTTTTTTTTCTGCTTCTTTCTTTGTTAGTTCCCCCAGTAGCCCTTGGAATTCTAGCTGGGATCATCATGAGATGGAAAGACAATAAAAACCAGTAAGTGAGCCTAAGCTGCCCCTCATAAATCATAACTTTCCCTAAGGATAACTGGGTATTTCCTTTTAAGCTCTGAGTGATAGTAATTACCTTCGGTATATATTTGCATGGTTACTACTGTCTTTCCATGTTGCTAAGTTGCTTTTTATTCTATGAATTTTCTCCTTTCTGTCTCTTCAGCTCTTATAATATGCCTTTACGAGAGCACAAGATGAAGGGAAGGGATACACTGATGCACCCAAAGATAACGGATGATGAGAAGCAGCCCGTGCTGTGGCATTCCTATTTTTGGTAGGTTTGCTTGTTCATCTGCCCAAGAGCTTGTGCCACTCTTCCGATTATACCCACGAGTCTCACCGGTGTTATTTCTAGCTACAAACCTTGCTGTGCCTGATCACACTGGTACGGCACATCTTTATGCAGTTTTTGACTCTAAAATGCCAACACCTCTGCCTCTGTGATGAACACGCTGCTCGCCAAAGAGGCGACGGCTGCATCACGGGAGGGTTTGGTGTTCGCCGGCTGCTCTCAGGGCTTGGCAGGAGGGATTCCCCCGTCTTTCTCATCCACAGCCGCACGACAAGTTGCCATGTGTGTCCCACCTGCGAAGAGCGGCTGCACGCTGCCCTGGCCTCCCACACCGAGCCCACGCACCGTGGCTGTGCCACCTGCGAGGACTGGCTGCGCGCCCAGCCCGGCACACCGCGCACCTACTCGGTCCCCAGCATCGGCGGCGGGGAGAGACGAAGCCCAGCAGGCACGAGGTACCGCAGGCGACCAGGCGCTTGCTCCTGCTTCCCTTGCACAGGTCCATGTAAAGCAAAAGAGGGGGAAAGCAGCACTTCTTGTGGGGGAGAAAGCATCTATACATGGATAGAGCAGGTTTCGCAGTTTGAATTCCTTTGGTTCCTTTAAGTCCAGTTTTAGCAGTAGAAAGTATTTGCTATTTAGAAAAAAGTGGTTCCGTAGGGCAGTAGTCATTCTCGGAAAGCCGTGCATTCAGGTGGACTCAGGTTGTCTTCTCTCTCTTTCTCTGTGTTCAGCTCTCCTGCCGAAGCTGCAGATGTGCTGAGGGGTGACGGCACAGGAGAAGCCGTTCCAGAGCGGAGCGAGGCAGAGCAGCCCATGGACCACGAAAGGTCTGTCTTCCACTTAAAAATACACGGATGCCACGGTGGGCCTGAATAAAAATCATTTCAGAGTAGAGTAGAACTGTATTTATTCAAGCTGAGGAGAAAATAAGGGTATTCTGCACATCCTTGTTTATTCCCACTTGATACTGTGCTGAGGATTACAGCATTTAATTACTTTTAAAACACTATTCACTCTGCTTTCTTCCCCCTAAAACAAAGGCACTCTGGGCAATTTTGTGCTTTGTTCTTTCAGCGCTTTTAAAAAGCATTCAGCACGTGCACGTGTTTCTCCTATTTCTTTACTCGTGTTGCTCTCTGGCAGTTGCACTGCACACTGCAATGCCCGGACGCTTCCCGCAGCGCTCGGCGTGCAGGGCCGATACAGACCTGCCCTCTCTGCTCCCCCTCTGCTCTGTGAGAGAAACGCTGGACTGAAGCGTCATTGGGTTTGCAGGTTTGATGAGGTGAGGTTGGGAACGGCAGGTCTAGCTATAAGGAGAGTATGGATTTATGAAGCGGTGTGTTTCAGAAGAGACATAGAAACTTCTCATACATTTTAGCAAAGCGAGGGAGGTTTGTGATAGAGCTAATTCCAGGTTTTCATCCTGCTTGGGAGGGTTCCTCAGTACCAGGGAAGCTGGAGATGCTGAACTTCATGGGTGATTTTTGAGTCTCCCTAGAGAGACTCAGCGTACATCCTCAACCGTGCTTCTCCACAGCAACCATCACGTCTGCCCCATCTGTGAGAACTGGGTGCGCGCCCACCTCGGCCAGCGTGAAAGCCATCCTGCGGTGCCTGGGGAGCGGACGGGGGGGCCCTGCCAGCAGGACAAGGGGTGAGTGCGGTGCGGCTGGTGCAGGCAGCTCCTCTCAGCAGCGGGCACCGCGGTGTGCACCAAGCATCCTCAAAACTGAGAGTACACTGCTAACTTAAAATTAAAAAAAATGATGGGGGTGCGTAAATGTTGGTTGTGCTTGCTTATAGCTCGGTATCGGGGTAAAAGCGTGGTGCCTCCTTGCAAGCAAAGAGAGGTGAAACTGGTGTGAGGTTTATTTGGACAACGCTTCTGCAGTTTCTTTGGGCGTCTCCGGATCAGGTTGTGCTCCTCAGCTGTCCTCACGCGGCTCGGCCTCGTGTCTTCTTTGGCCTGTGACGGAGCTTTGGTTTTTATTAAGCAGCAAAGAGCCCGAGTGCTGTAAGAGACCCTGCAGCGTGGGCCTCCTGTTCACGTCACTGCCGAGTGCTTTTTCCACCTCTAGGCACGGTTAGTTTGTTTGGGGCAGAGCAGCGATGAGGTGAGTGCGGTGACATTGTGTACTCAGTTTACTTTTTGATACCTGCCCATGTGAGTCTTGTGCTTTCCCAGCTTCCCACAAAGCTTCCTTAACAGAGTAATCATTGACAGAAGCAAATTCAAATAAAGGTGAAGGCAGCTCCTCTCAGCAGCGGGCACCGCGGTGTGCACCAAGCATCCTCAAAACTGAGAGTAAACTGCTTAACTTAAAATAAAAAAAATGATGGGGGTGCGTAAATGTTGGTTGTGCTTGCTTATAGCTCGGTATCGGGGTAAAAGCGTGGTGCCTCCTTGCAAGCAAAGAGAGGTGAAACTGGTGTGAGGTTTATTTGGACAACGCTTCTGCAGTTTCTTTGGGCGTCTCCGGATCAGGTTGTGCTCCTCAGCTGTCCTCACGCGGCTCGGCCTCGTGTCTTCTTTGGCCTGTGACGGAGCTTTGGTTTTTATTAAGCAGCAAAGAGCCCGAGTGCTGTAAGAGACCCTGCAGCGTGGGCCTCCTGTTCACGTCACTGCCGAGTGCTTTTTCCACCTCTAGGCACGGTTAGTTTGTTTGGGGCAGAGCAGCGATGAGGTGAGTGCGGTGACATTGTGTACTCAGTTTACTTTTTGATACCTGCCCATGTGAGTCTTGTGCTTTCCCAGCTTCCCACAAAGCTTCCTTAACAGAGTAATCATTGACAGAAGCAAATTCAAATAAATATTTGGTTAAAATAAACATGGTTTGAGGTGTGTATCCGCCTGCTTTAGTTTTTGTAACTATGAACTTCTTTTTACCAATCATTTATTTCATGCTGTTCCTGCGAGTGCTCGTTCCACTTGCTGTTAGCCCTAACCCTGGAGGAGCCGTTTCAGTTCTGCACTCATGAATCGCTACTTGTTTGAGTTTAAAAAGTTAATCTCTTTGAAATTGCTTATGAAACTAGTTTTTGTGGGTGCCAGAGCCTGTGCGGTATGGCTTGGCGAGGGGCGGTTCCCAACATGAACCCATCAGGGCTCATCCTTGGCTCTCTCTCCACAGCCCGCGGGGTCCCGTCTGCCCTCCCTGTGCCGACCGGCTGCACCTCTCCCTTGTCCACAGCAACACGGCAAGCTGCCCCGTGTGTCCCCTGGCCGGGGAGGGGACCCTGGCTCACCTCGTCCCCTGCCGCACCCCCGGCTGCCACGTCTGCCCCGTCTGCGCAGCGCCCACCCACGCGCACCTGTGCCAGCCCCGGCGCCAGGCACCCGACGGTAGGGACCTGCACGGGGGGCACCCAAAACGGCCTTCGGGTCACCGCGGCTTGGAGCTAAGGTGCCACAAACGAGAGGCTGCAAAGGTCATTCCTCCCAAAGCCAAGGGGCTGCAGCACGCAGCAACTAACCCTAATTAACTGCTCGTTTCCCTGTTGCAGGATGAATGCCGGCGGCTGTAGCATCCTTAGCGGCACAAAGCTGGTTGGAGAGAAGGGAGAGTTGCTACACCAACTCCTGACATTGTCAGGGATGGAGTTCTAAGTGCAATAAGGCAGCCTGAAGTCAAGCGTCTGGCTTCACAATCAAGAATTTCTTTGTAAAGAAGCAGGAAAATCAAACATACTTCAAATTCAGCTCCTTATGGGTTCAATGCCTACTTTTTTGTTTGTTTTAGTATGAAAAAACTATTTTTGCAGCTCTTAAAGTGAGGCTTTAAAAATTCAGTAAACGTTTCTTTCCAGTAGGAAAATAATTTCATAGTAAACACCCTCTTTGCACAACCTTGCAAGATTTACTTGTATTTTTTAAACTACTTTTTTACTGAGGTTCCTTTACTAGTGTGCAGATACGAGTGTGAAAATTGCAGTATTTATAGTAAAACTGTTTTGTAAATAAAAGCAATGTGAAATAAGCAACACTAGTATCCTGGCTTGGGTTTTTTTTTATTATTTGCTAATCAAACCTTCTCATAGAGCACTTTAAATGGTTTTGCAGTGTCATTGTTTGCTGGATGTACTCAGCTGCTCAGATAATTGCTGCTCAGATAATTGCTGCTGTCCTGTTGCACTGTTGTTTGTAGCAGTGCGCCTGGCCTTTCCCGGGAACCACAATGACGGAGGCGAGGTGCCACTGCTCGAGCGGAGCCCATTTCCACCCCGGGCAGCACCAGGGCAGTATCGGGGAAGGTGTGCACTCCTCTCCAGGTATAACCTTCCCTCGGCCGTCCACGAGTATTCCTGCACCGGCCGTATTCTCTACGCAAAACAACAGGCTGCAGCTTCAGCAAGGAGTTCAGAGGATTAAATTAGCTGCTCCCCCTTGGTGTTTGCTGGCTTGTACTCCTTGTTTTGACATGGGAACAAACTTAATAGCGGTAATACGGAAGCTGTAAAAATTGCCTTTCTGCTTTATTGGTGTTTGCAAAGAGATGGAATTTATTGGTGTTCTGGCAAAAGACAGGCAGTGCTACAGGTAGGACAGAAAGGTGCTGCGCAGTTATCTGATTCTGCTATCATATTTGTTATCGAACTGGGACACAGCACATTTCCGTCAGCTTGTGCTGACAAATGCAATCCTGATAATTGCATTGAGGAGAGGGAGCAGCAACGGCCATCTGAGCGCCTGAGCTGCCCCATGCCCCGGCTGCCATCCCTCACCGTCCCCTTCCGATCATCCTTTTGAACAGGGGGCTGGAGTCAGCAGGGGCTGTTCCAGGGGTGCTAAGTGGTACCCCCAGCATGCCCTAAGCCTCTCCTAGCTGATGCAGAGGGAGAGGTGCAATGGAGAGAAGATGTAGGCATGGTGCAACACAGCGTGGCCGTAGGACAAGCGCTCTTCCAGGCAGCCTTAGGCTGTCCTTGGGTTGAGGACCAAGGGTAGGGCGATGGGGTGGACCGACTGAAAACAAGCATCCCTCGCAAGGCAGACACTCCCCCGCGTTCACAGCATCGCTCAGGATAAGTCATTAAGATTGCGTGCTGGGTGATTCACCGCTAAGGTGAACCCTTTCCGCGTCACCGGACGGGGCAGGAGAGGCCGTTGGGGAAACACGGCAAAGAGACCTGGCCCCAGCGCCAGCCGCCTGCGTTTTGCTGTTC